CCTCCCCCAACAAACAAATATTACCTCCCTGTTGGGGAATTACCAACGATGATGTGTCCTGATAAACAATAGGAGTGAGTATAATGTAGAGTTGGAACGAGTTACTGCAATGGTAGCGCAGTGATGCCGTCATCGCGCGTCGTCGCGAAATCTGAACGCAGCCTAAAACGTACAAGGCGCCATAATTTTATTACATTAGAAATAAGGACACCTATAGGGGTAAATGTTAAAGGAAACGACGTTATGTGATCTCTAGGTTCAACCTCTGCTTTTGAGGAACGGGCATAGATGTGGGTGGACGAGGAACTCACTGGGACAGAGCATTGGCATTCCTTTTGTTGTCCTTCATTTCATATTTCGCTCGTGCACGTGTTAAAATGTACGATAAGCGCGATTTCTTTTTCTAGAAAAATCATTGCAGATGTTTGCTCACCGATCAAAGTGACTGCTTATTTGGCTGTTGGCGAACTACAAGTCTACTTCCCTCCGCAGAAGTTCAAATAATCGTTTGTGACCCAGAAGAAATAGAAGTTCGTCATCATGGTGCTTGGGGCCGTACTGTCTATGCTACGTTATGTAGGGGGCAGTGAAGACAGAGATTTTGTCGATCGACTGCACTCCTATTTCACATGTAACATCTTGATTGGTCTCGCCGTTCTCGTCAGTTTTAAGGTACGCTTTTCTTCATTTGCTTCGCTTGCTGTCTCTTATTATAAGAGGGACCAAGTACCAGGTCCTCGTGAGATGTCGCGCTCATTTTGCGAAGTAGTTCAAATATTATGGCTTAGGCTGTGTTCATAATTCATGGTGACGCTCGTCAACGAGCATCGTCGTGAAGTATGAACGCCTTACAGAACAGTTGGTGTCGTCACTGGAGATTTCACAGGGCGATTCAAGTACTCGTTAGTCAAGTAACCACAGTTAAGGACAAAGTGTCGAACTCATGGTATGCTATGGCGATGAGCGAAAGCCGTTCAGTGCGGCCCTCTCTTCACCGTTGCCCCTAGAACTACTCCCTTCAACTCTGAATTCCACCCACCTCCTCACCTTCCGTTGCCTTCAGTTCTCCAGAAATATACGACAAACGAAGAGAGGGGAAGGAATCATCAACTCGGACCCGCTTCATCGAACGAAATAGGGCGGAGATGGTAGCATGTGGGGGCTACTTACAATGCGTACCGTCAAATTACTAGTCCCCATTCGAAGAATCTATTCCTTCTTCCCCACCCCCCCCCAATCAGTTGCTTTACATTAGATTC